GTTTGTGGACAACTCTTCATTTCTGGAGCTTCAGACCTTTCCTGGTGTGTATTCCCTCTACAAGGTTCTGACTGGAAAGCACTAACTGCTTTCATCAAAGAAGAAGAGACAGTTATCCCACACCAAAAGCACAAGGGATTTCATTCTTCTTTATCTGCCTAATGACCTATTCAAGACTCCTTAGAAAAGCTCAGACATAATTTTATCTTGTCACTGAATGTCACTATTGAGAATGTGAAAGCAATCTATGAAGCTGAATCTCAATCTGAGAAGAGGATTCCCTAGGAGGAGGCAGAGGAACAAAGAAACAAAAGGGAAGTTCTAGGACTTTAGCTGGATTCCAAAGGGTATGGGATGGATTCATATGGCTCACCCCAAAGTACGGTAGATTAAGTGACACTGCTCCACTCAGTTGGGAACAGCAAAATCGTTGACTCATCCATGACCCAGAGTATACGAGACCTTTAGGAAGGCTTTCCCCCAGCATGTCAAAGTCTTGTTGTCTTTAAAAGAAGTGACTGGTTTGGTGCTGATTGAATTAGAATACTTGAACTTATTTGGTGAGCACCTAATGGAACTTGCTGGATCTGAGGAACTAACCTGTGGCCCTGGTTGCCTGCAGGAAAATGTACTCTGGGCTTTCCTTGGACACAAGGTCACAAATACAACTTACAAGACCAAAATAGTTAACTTACCATACTTGCACACCAGATGGAATTGTTCAGCGTTTTATTGGTATGACTATGTCCTAAACTACTTTATGCTTAATATAAGCCTGGAAAGTGTTTCTCTCATACAGAGGCCCTAGCCAAGTTTACACAACAAGCTCTTAATGAAAGCAGAAATAGTTTAATTATGCTAAATACAGAAGTCTTATTAATGAAGAAAGCAGTCTTGCAAAATAGAATGGCCTTAGATATTCTCACCACATCTCAAGGGGGCACTTGCAACATTATGCACACTGAATGCTTCACCTTCATCTCATGAGAGTCAGGGAACATAACAGTACTGGACCAAATGAAAACTAACATCAGTACCATAGATGATTCAAATGTATACAGTAAGGAGGTGCTTGGAAAGGTTTCAGATTGGTTCTCAAACATTTTTTCTTGGTTCCCATCAGGTATTAAAATAACTCTGTCAGAAATATCAAAGTTCTTCCTATGTTAATAATAGGAGTCTTAATATATGTCTCCTTCAAAATTTGTATGGGATGTGCTGCTAGGATTTCTAAGCTTATAGCTGAGTCTAACCCACAAAAATCACCAGTGGGAAGAAGTCATACATATTTTCAAGCTGCAACAGCAAAACATAAATAACCTCATGATGATATCATAGCTCTAACTGTCAGTGGGGAAATGATGAAGAGATGCACTACTACTAATCCATTATTGTTATAATGTTTGGCTGCTTAGAGTTATTGCCCTGCAAGCATCCATATTCCTTAGGTAAAATAAGAATCTTACCCCCTTAACTCTCTTTTCCAGTTGTAAGTTTGTGCTGACCCTTCTTGTAACAGATGAGTCATTGACCCCATTGTTATACTCAGATAGTTAGTAAAATAGATTGTTACTCATTTTTGTGATCTGTAGTTAAAGTTAGAAAAACAATTATATTAATCTTGTAACTATAACCAATATACCCTTTGTTTTGTTGTAACCATTGGTTAATGATGTTTTGTAGTAAGCTCTGTTAACCCCTTTGTTCACCGTTACTAATAAATGAAAATTACAAGTTCCTCAGTAATAAGCACAAGGAATGTGTAGACCATAAATGTCATGATTGACCAAAAACAGCTGTAAGTAGAATCTTACAGAATGCTTTGTAAGTCACGTAGTTTGATTTTAATCTATAACAAACCTCAATGCTTATGTTTATAAATACGGAATGTAGAATCCAAGAGGGAAGCAGACTTAGAGATGCTAAGTTCTGACTCCCTGAATTCTGAATTCAGAAATAAATTTCTTTCTTCCCTCTCGACTCTTTTTTTTTTTTTTTTGAGTTGGAGTCTCACTCTGTTGCTCAGACTGGAGTGCAGTGGTCGCTCCCGGCCACTGCAGCCCCGACCTACTGGGCTCCAGCAATCCTTCTGCCTCAGCCTTCCTAGGAGCCGAAATTACAGGCAAACGCTACCATGCCCGGCTGATTTTTTTATTTGTTGTAGAGATGAGGTCTCGCCAAGTTGCCCCGGTGGGTCTCGAACCCACGAATCAGGCAATCCACTCACCTCATCCTCCCAAAGCGCGGGATTACAGTCTGAGCCACTGAGCCGGGGTTCCCTCTTGACTCTTATTGGCAGTGAAAAAGAGCAGCTGTGTGTGCTCCCAGACTGGGTAGTCAGGAAAGTTCTCTCTAATGTGTAATGTTTGAGCAGAAGCATAAATAAAATGAGTTTTAAAAATATGTTAATAAAAAAAGAAGAGAGAACAGCAAAGTGAAAAATGCCACAAGTGAAGAATAAACTTGGTGAGTTGAAGGGAGATCAAGAAGACCTGTGAGTCATGGATGGGGAATTTGGTAGGAGGCAGAAACTGGAGAAGTAAGTAACAGCCAGATCAAGTAGACTTTGGAAACCAAAGAAGAGTATGGATTTTATTCCAGTGTGCTTACAGATATTTAGGGTTTTAAGCAGAAAATTACATAATCTTATTTATTCTCCCTTGTGAAGTTCTCCTACTTTATCAGATTAACAAATTTATGGTTATCCTTAAAGGTCCAACTCTAATGTCACACTTACTGTAAACTCTTGTTTTGGGAGGTTTCCAGTAGTTCCATTTAACCAGCTTTGCTAGTGGTGACTTTTCCCCTTCAGTTACATTCAAGTCAAAGATGAGCCTTAGACACTGTCTGATGCTCAGGTAGTTTATTCTGGCATTGCTCTTAAATGAAAGTAATGGGAAGAGGTCTGTGGGATGGGCCAGATACACTCAGGGCTCAGATGACTGATTGACCAGCTGAGTCTCCATTAAGAGACCATTCTCAGAGTTGAGAGAGCCGTTGCCTTTCCTTATACCTGTATTTGGTCAGATCAGTTATGAAAGAAAGGTGTTTCTTTCATAAAGGGAATTTAAACAATTCTTGTAAGGGTAAACTTTAAGGTTCATAAAGTTGCATCTATGCTAAGGGTAAGCTTTAAGGTTCATAAAAGTTGCATCTGTGGTCTCTCTCTCTTTTTATTTTTTTTGTGAGTTGGAGTCTCACTCTGTCACCCAGACAGAAATGCAGTCGCACGCTCCTGGCCATTGCAGCCTCGACTTGGTGGGATCCTTCCGCCTCAGCCTTCCAAGTAGCTGGAACTACAGGTGCGTGCTACCACGCCCGGCTAATTTTTTTGCCAAGTTGCCCAGGTGGGTCTTGAACCCGTGGGCTCGGGCAATCCACTCACCTCAGCCTCCCAAAGTGCTGGGATTACAGGCTGAGCCACCGAGCCCGGCATCTGTGGTCTTATCTCCTAAAAATCCCTGGGCCAGGGTTAAAAATCCCCAGGGTCAGGTTGTATCACATTGCTAGGTGACATATAGTATCAGCCATTGGAGACACTGGAGTGGGCATTATAGTCATAGAGATCTTACGTCTCTTAGAGCATACCACACTTTCCTTAAATTTCCCTACACCTTCTCTCTCTTCAGTTTTCCCATTTGTACTAGCTTCTACTGTGGTGCATTTATCTACTATAATACATATTGCTTGTTTTTCAACTTGTCTTTTCTACTGAACTGTTAACTCCCTAAGGGCAGGGACTGTGTTTTATCCTCCTGCAGTGCACAGCACATAGTACTGTTAAGTAAAAAATTAGTGAGTGAATGAATCATTGTTTGCCTAAATTTATGCTTCTGATCTTAAATTCTATTGAATTCCAGTCTTATTTTCAAATGCTTATTGACATTTTCAATTGATCAGCAGTTTTTCTTCAAGTTCAGTTTCACATAATCATTATTTCTTTCCAATTTCTCCTTTTTTAATTGGCCATACTAACTTCCTTCTAGTTTCCTTTCCTAGTCAGAAATTTTAGAGTTCTTTGATTATTCTCTTACTACTTGGAATTTCCTTTATTTCACTGACTGTAACCTTGGTTCAGACTTTTATAACTTAGTTTCTGGAAAACTGCAATGATGTGTAGCTGGCTAGGTTATCCCTGCTCAAATTTCTTTCCTCCTCAAATCCATACTGCATATCTCTGCAAGATCATTGTCAATGAAGGACCATTTTATTCATGAGTTCATGCATTGTTTCGTTTTTCAAATATTTCTGCACACTGAATGTATTACATGCCATTCTCTTATATAAAATCTTATTTAATGCTCCAATGAACTAAATGGGATCAAGTTTTTATCTCTGTTTATAGATAAGAGCATTGAGATTTAGTTTACCTGCCCTTGGTCAGTTACACAAACAACAAAGGGTAGAGCTGAGATTTGAACACAGATCTTTTTAGCTGAGAACTCTGAGCTTTGCTTCATCATTGCATTGGTAAGTAATACCTCGAGTTTAAATTCCTGCTTCATCCAGGAGGATATCCATAATATAGCCCACCAGTCCTAATGAACTCTCCGTTGTTGCTGTACTTTGATTTTTAATTCCATATTTCAAAAATCTGTATAGCTATCTGTTGTGCACTGGCCTTTCTTACTTCAAGAAGACTGTAAGCTCCTTGAAACCAGAGCAGTTCTATGCAGGTCTGCCACTGCAGACAGCACAAAAGACATTCTCAGTGAGCAATCCATGAAATCTTAGCATAGTCCTTGGAACATATGCACGTTTAGAGAATGGTACCAAGCACTGTTATTATTACTCGGGACTGATGCATCAAACTGAAGATATAATAGGAAACCAGAAAACTCAGCTGTCGTCCTCAGTTTTGAAACTCTGCTTACCCCGCTTACAACTGAGACAAACGGTTTCCCAGGCTGGTACCTCAAAGTCTCATCCCGCCTTTCTGTAAAGCAGTGTCACCTGCGATTAATCACCAGGTCACCACCAGCAGCAAAATTCTGTCCACCATGACTGCTCTAATAGAGTACAATAGGTGAGAGTACTTTGAGAAAGAAAAATGGAATAGTTGTAGTTTTTTTTTAATGAATGGTCAATGTGCTTTCCATGCATCTATAGACGGATCAACGTAACTACGCTGAACTTTGATGAAGTTATAGAAGTCTTTTCTAAACTTCCCGGTTCGAGTTCTGAGGTGCAGCACCTAGCCTTGTTCAGGTGTCCCCTCTGTCTTACAGTCCCTGCTTCTTCCCGGCGCTTGAGTAGAGCCAGCCGCAGCCCGCCGTAAGATCTAGCCTGGCCTTAAATGTGAGGCGGGTTCAGCTGGTGCAGCGAACACCGCGGCCTTAGGGCCTCGCGGGTCCTGACTTCCCAAGGCTCTCGCGGGCCCGCCCCGCCCCCGGGAGCGCCGGCACGCCGTCGCGCCACGTACGTCACGCGCTCCCGGAAGCACTGAGTGAGCGGTGGGGGCGTGTCCTCAGGCGCGGCGCGTGTCCGTACCTGAGAAGCGCGGGAAGTGGGTCTCCGGCGCTGGGGCATCCGCTGCCCACGTTTTCTCGTTTCCCCGGCAAGCCGCGAGCTTGTCCGCCGGCTCAGACCCTGAGGCCGACCCCATCTCTGACGCGG